GAGTAAAATGGAGTTGTCGAGAGATGGAATACGACCTTGGTAGAGATAGTGAGGAGCACGAAAAACTCTCCCTTGATTTTTAGGGAGAAGCAGTATTGATGGCAGGTTACATCCTAAACCATGCACCCACTAAGGTTGCCCTTTTTACTCCTCGCGAGATTTCTACTGGTTGTACTCCGTTCCCTTATCACCTAAGAGTGTGGGGCTGTTTTGCCCATCGTAATCCCATACCAAAATAGGACAAAACTAGATCCCAAAACCATCAAGTTCATATCCATTGGCAACCCTAACTATGGTAAGGGGTATCGATTCTTCAACCTTGAGAATGGGGCAGTTATTGAGAGCCGAGATACCCACTTCTTTGAGGATGAGTTCCATAAAGCAAGTCACAAGCAAGCTGATCTCCATAAGATGGCTGGTGACAAGGTGAGTCTCAAGAACCCAAACGAAGCAATCGAATTAGGAGAGAACCTGAATTCTTCATCTACCTGGGGGAATACTATCAGAGGGTTGGGGATGAGCCAACCATGAGCCTTCCATTTACCAAGAAGCCATAACTTGTTCTGAAAAGAACCATTGGGTAAAAGCCATGAAAGATGAATACCATTAAAGGCCTTAAGATAACATGTAATCAATATTTGATATAGTGGAACAATGACCTCCAGTGGGAGTACGGGAGTATGGTCTAGAGGGACTGAGATTGGCTAATGATATTTTCGAGACTCAGACTAGGCTAAACGTGATAGGTTAGTCAAGTTGCAAAACCCTAAATTACCTGAGTATAGAGCACAACTGAGGATGATTAGCAGGGTTATCCCTTGATGAGGTCAGAGTTGCCCAAGGTAACCCTTATGTATGATTGGTTGGCCTCTAGGGATGAGGGCCAAAGCCTCATCATTGAACCATTATACAACATATACATATGATAGCCGTATCAGGAAAGAAAGTTGCCATTGAGAATGATATGTGTACATGTGCAAGAGATGACCTTTATGCTTATGCACTATAGAGTTGTGGTTGCACCAGGTTTGTATGACTTTGGACTTGTCCCTAGGAGAAACTTGTAATTCATAAACTAGGATTGTGTCTCACACCTATTGGCTGACTTTGATAGCCCAATCATGAACTCTTGCAATGGTCTGTGGGTCATGAAACTGCTGGGTCAGTTTGAGAAAGTGAATGTGGATTATAGACCTCAGTAGAAGATGGAGTTCTTCAACAAAATTAATAATTCCTTAACATAGTTGGATCCAAATCCCATTAAATTAATTTAGAATTAATTATTTTGATATTAAATGATTGTTAGATTAATAGAAGAAATTTTTAGAAGTCTTTGGATATTTTATTTTCTCAAAATGGACTTATAAATAGAGAGAAACTGAATTTTCAGTATCTTTTCAGTATCTTAATAGTCAGAAATTAATTATATTTTACTAAAAATCATTTAAAGTGTTTTAAAAAATAAAAAATATATGGGGCCCCACCATGAGCTATGGGGTCCACCATAAATTACACATGTGGATGGTGCATGGGGGCACATTAGAGGCCCCATGAGAAGTACGCCCCATTTTATGCATGTTTCCTATTTTGTGGTCACCATATCAAGCCATTCAATCAATTGAGTGAGAATAGGAAAGTTTTGAAAATTAAAGAGAGTAGATTTTCAAATTGAAACATGTGTAGAGATTTATGAAAGAGATAGGAAAGTATAATATATTTTCTATCGTATTTTTATTCGATGAGATTAGGTTAAAGAAGCTGAAGGATAAGGTTCTAACACCTTCCTTTCAATCATGATGGTTGATTTAAGGATTGTATGACTAAGATCTCTCACCTACAGGTCTCCTATGATCAATGGTTTGGATCTAATCTTCATAAGGATGACTAACCCTAAGAAACCCTAACCCTAGAGAACATATACAAATAAGCTCTATTGGGAGGGGGGGGACTTACTCTCTACACCTCTATTTTCTTTCTCTCCCCCTCTCTAGGTGACACGCTACCCTACCTCTATCTCTCTCTTGATCTCTCATCTCATTCCCTTACTTAGAAAACAAGGCAGAGAGGAGGCACGCTGCAACCCTAGGGCTAAGAATAGGGGGCACGCCCCACATATAAGGCATTGAAGCCTTCATGTTTCATGTTGTTCCACAATTGCTCTCTGATTTGATCAAGGGCTGTAGCCTATGGTTTCCCATGCTTGAAAGATTTGAGATAGACTATTGATCCCATGAGCCATTAGAGGAGGAGACCCGGAGTTGGGTGTGAAAGATCTAGTTGAGGTAATTTTCTGACAATTTACTTTATGCTTTCCCGTCTTGTGTTTTTTTGTTCCGAACAGTCTTATGCGATTTTGTGTAGTGAATAAAAGAAGTTTTATTAGTGGCATCAAGAACGAATCTCTCTTGTAATTGATCTTGTTTTATTTTGAGTTTATTTAATTGTATTTGGACCTTTGCGTGTGTTCTAGCCGGAAAACTGAAGAAAAAATAAAAATTGTATATATCGTGCTAGTTCACCTTGTCCAACTTTCTGGATGAAGAGGTCAATGAAGAATAGATAGTTTATTTTCAATAATTATAAAATCACAAACACAATGGAAACAACAATAGAAAGAATTGTTGGCATAAATGTGGGCGGAGGTCATATATTTGTAGGATTAGGATATCAAAAGTGAATGAAGCTTTGAAGTATCCCAATATAAGTTTAGTAGTGCATGGGGCAGATCGGTATTGATTGGCTGACCAAGCTGTTCAACAAGGTGTTAAAAACAAAGAAAATGACAGATGAATGGAGGAAAAATACTGTGATACCTATTTACAGATACAAAGAAGACAGAATTATACGAACTATCAAGGATCAAACTTATGAGCCATACTATGAAGCTATGGGATAGAGTGATTGAACAACAACTAGGCATGAAAAGAGTGTATCAGAAAACCAATTCAGTTTTATGAAGGGAGGTCAACAATTGAGGCTTTTTTCCTACTTAGAGAATTGATTGAGAAATTTGGGCGAAAGACAAAAACCGCTGCATGGTCTTTATTTATCTAAAGAAAGCTTATGATAGAGTAACTCGAGATTTAATTTGGTGGGTGTTGGAAAAGAAAGGAGTCTCCAGATACTACATCGACTTGGTAATAGATATATACAAGGGAATGCTAAGTAGTGTGCGAACAATTCATGAAGAGACGAGTAAGTTTTCAGTGAGAATATGCCTACATCAGGGGTGGGTCAGTGTGGAGCCCATACCTCTTTGTCTTAGTTACGGATGACTTAACTAGGCACCTACAAGATGAGGTACTATAGTGTATGTTGTTTGTTGATGACATAGTTTTGATCGATGAGAATGTCAACACAAAGTTAGAACTTTAAAGGGATGCTCTAGAATCTAAAGGTTTTAAAATTAGCCGGAATAAGATAGAGTATATGGAATACAAGTTTAGTAATAATAAGAGTACAGACAAAGAAGTAGTTCAGATTGACGGCCAAAAAATACTAAAAATAGCGCCCGTTCGATATCTTGGATCGATAATCTAGGAAAATGGAGAGATTGAGGAAGATGTTGCACATTGAGTTAGCCGGGTGAGCGAGGTGGATATGTGCAACTAGAGTTTTATGTGATCGCCGTATATCAATAAAGTGGAAGGAGAAATTCTATAGGACAGCTGTGAGCCCAACATTGCTTTGCAGGGCCAAATGTTGGCAATCAAGAAACAACATACCTATAGGATAAGTGTAGCTGAGATGAGGATGTTGAGATGAATGAGTGGCAAGATAAGAACGGATAGGATTCGTAATGAATACATTCCAAAGAACTTAGGTGTGGCTCCAATAGGTGACAAGATGAAAGAAAGTAGAATTAGGTAGGCTGGCCATATGCAGCACATCTAGTACAACACTTGTTAGGAGGTGCGAGTTGGTTCAAGTGAAAGGCTCAAAAAGGTAAAAGGCAAGCCCAAAAGGACATAGTTGGAAGTAATGAGAAAATATATGGGGACTTATGGACTCACTGAGGGTATGACCTTTGATAGAGCAGAATGGTAGACCAAGATTCATCTAGTTGGGAAAAAGCTCTTGATGATGATGATAAAAAAATGATGGAAGGAGCAACTTCTATACAAAATGGAAGAGGGGCGGCTTCCATGTCCTAGTTCTAAAATGTTCATAGAATCAAACATGCCCTAAATGTCTTATTATGAAACTATTCACCTCGTTGTTCACTCAATAAACCAGATACAAACCAGCATCTCTGGCGAGCATCCCCCCGCAAAACTTGACATAAAATCACCTTCTAAGATGTGTTTCTTTGTTCTTTCCTGGAAGAATTTATTCAATCAGTGTAACAAACTTCATATTGCCCCAGGAATAAGTTATTTCCTGTCAATCTTATAATGGAAAGGGGAGAGTTATCATGATGTGATATTTTCTGAAAGCATTCCTTAATCCACAAGGACTTCTGTCCACCTGAAAATGCTTCTTTAAGGGGCCTGATTAGTTATGATAAATGTTTTTTCTTTTGATAAAATTATGATACATGTTGAATTTAGCATTATCAAATTTTACCAACAAATTCTTGCAACAATAAAACAAATCCAGACCTTTTTAGTAAAGGATTTGAAGACAAATCTCGTGTCTAGCAATCTCATTCTCAGGAAAAAAATCCTCAGAGTTGCAATAATCTTGAAAATAAGGAAAATTTTAGCATTCTTTAGAAAATCTGTATTCCAACCGAATCACCGAGATAATATGAATAAAAGAATAGCTCGAATAAGAGAAATTCAATTGAAACAGATCTCCTTTATGATAGCGAAGGCAGAGGATGCCCATTCAGGAAGGGATACAGTCCCAAAGAGTCAAAATCTAGTGGACAACAAAAGCAAGATCATCGAACATTTAGTGATAGCATTATTTTATAGATTGCAAAAAAGACATCCTTATTTATCCAAAAATGTGTTCAAGTGTAGAAGGTTTGAGGGAAAGAACTTGCTAATCGTTACCTCTTTGCGGATGCCAGCATGAGCTAACCTCATTTTATAGTGCTTAAATTCTCCGAGTAATAAATCAACGTACCTATGCCAAATAAAATGGTAACATGTAAGACATGCAATAAACAAAATTTAGAGACAACTGCAAGCACAAATAGTACGCTGAAGACCACCAAAAACAAGATGTACAGTACATCTATTCTGTAGAAGCAGCTCCTCAACTCATATCATAAAAATAAATATATAAATAAAATGAGAAACTCCAAAATATAGTTCCTGATATGTCAATAGAAGAGCATTATTCATTAGAAAGATAAATAGGGAGTATCATTGATACATAAGCTAAACAAAACATAAGGACCTGAAGCATTTGCTAAAAAAATCAATCACAGGAAATTGACAAACCATATTGCCACATGAGCAACACCAAAAATTCAAGAAACAAAAGTATCTTAAACTGGTAGAAGGACCAGGATATCGAATTCTGTAACCAATGAAAAAAGTGCACGCAAAAGAACACTATGGGAGATTAAATATTTCTGTACTCCATTCAGCTGTTCATAGACATATGAGAAAATCACATTACGCGGTAAGCAAATGGTGATCTTTAATAAAGTAAATAGAAGACGATTGTCATAAACAATACACTTTTGCCTTTGTACTTATAAAGCAAGAATGTTTATCAAGATATTACAGGCTTGCTCTTAGGTTATGTACTTCTTTAGACAGGGCCTTCGTGGATATATTAGCTGCTTGCAATTTTTTATAAATGGAATGAATACTTCGGTTATCACAACGAAAGACCACTATCTTACATGCAAGACGAAGTTTTAAAACTCGCCCATGTTGAGTTTGTTGTGGCCTTACAAGGTCTAAAGAAGTTGTAAATAAAATCATCTATAGTGATTTGTACACTTTAGTGGGTGAATATTGTGGCTGATTGACCTAAGGTTGGGCGATCTATGGCACGGGTCAATGTGCAAAACCCTTATCCCTGGGCATATATAAACCAAATAAACAACCAAAGAGGACAAGGTGATTCAGCACGGTGTATATCAATCAAATAAACAACCAAAGAGGACAAGGTGATTCAACACGGTTTTTAATTTTTCTTTTTTATACTGACTATAACACTTACGAAGGTCTAAATATAATTAAATCAACTTAAAATAAACCAAATAAACAACCAAAGAGGTTCTCACTTGCTGCCATTAATTATAACATCGGTTATTCAATAAACAAAAATAACATAATGCTTATGGGAAATCACAAGACTGCATACCATAGAACAATATGCTAGAAGATTACCTCAATTGGACTTTGCACACCTCACTCCGGGCCTCCCCCTCCAATGACGCACCAAATCAATGGTCTATTTCAGATCTACAAAGTATGGGAAAGCCTTGGCTACAACCCTTAAACAATATGAGAGCATAGGTGGAACAAAGAACTAGCTTAAGGCCTCAATGCCTTATGCGTGTGGGGCATGAGGGAGAGATCTTAGAGAGATGAGAGAGAGTGGTGAGAGGTGGCGTGCCACCCTTAAGTGGGGGAGAGAGAGGTCGAGATATTTGGTGGAGATAGAGACCCTATTTATAGATTTTCTTTAGGGTTAGGGTTTCTTAGGGTTAACTATCCTTATGGAGATTAGATCCAGACCATTGATCATAGGAGATCTGTGGGGTGAGAGATCTGAGCCATCCAATCCTTAGATCAACCATCATGATTCAAAGGAAGGTGCTAGCACCTTATCCTTCAGTTTCCTAAATCTAATTCCATCAAATAATAAATATGAAAAATAATATCATATTTACTTTTATTTTCCTTAATCTTCTCATACATAATATTTGATTGAAATCAAACCTCTTTAATTTCAAACTTCCCCTTTTTCTTTAAGTTAATTGAGTACCTTTAAATGGCCTTTTTCAAAATAGGAAAGAGAATCCCCCATAGTGGGGCGTGCCATGGGCCCCTATGTAGGCCCCACGCACTATTCAACGGTGGTCATGGTGGGCCCCCATGGGTCCCCTTAAATATTTATGATTGGTAAAAAAATAAAAATGATTTTTAGAACTTTGTAAATAAAAAAATTTTCTCTTTGAATATTTAAATACTGAAAATCCAATATCTCTCTATTTATAAATCCATTTTGTGAAAATAAAATATCCAAAGACCTCTAAAAACACAAATAATCAATCTAAAAATCATTCAATATCAAAATAATTAATTCTAAATAATTTTGATTGGAATCGGATCCAACTAGGTCAAAAAACTATAAAAATTATTGAAGTACTCCATTTTCAACTGCGGACTATAATTTGCACTCACTTTCTCAAACTAACCCAGTAGTTCCCATGACCCACAGACCATCGTAGGGGTTCATGATTGGGCACCAAAGTAAGCCAATAAGTGAGGGGACACAATTCCAGTCTATGGATTACATGTCCCTAGAGAAGTCCTAGGTCACACAAACTTGGTGCAACCATAACTCTGGTGCATAGGGGTAATCTCTCGTACATGTACATACATCACTCTCAATGGTGATTCGTTTTCCCAATACGGCTATCATATGTACATGCCGTGTGATGATTCAAAGATGAGGCTTTGGCTCTCGTCTCTACAGGCCTACCATCACGCACAAGGGTCACACAATCCCTTTTCACTTTACCTTGGGAAACTCTGACCTCATCAAGGGATGACCTTACTAACCCTCATTAGTTGTGCACTTAGCCCAGGTAATTAAGGGAATTCCAACTCCATTGGCCTAGCACGTAAAGCCTAGTCTGAGTATCGGCAAATAGCATTCGCTTATCTCGGTCCAATAGGACCATACTCCCACTTTGTTTAGGTTCCATTACATCAAAATATTAATTACAAGCTCTTATAAGGCCTTTAATGGCTACAAAAACCCAACATGTGGCACTACCGTTGAGGGTTTGTTGTGGGTCATTCATTGTTGAGGTTGAAAGAATGTCCACGAATGCTCTTTGTAGGCTAGGGGAGTTGTGTGGTCTCCTGTATGAGGAGGAAGGGCCTGTGAAAACACGAGTCAAATCCTCAACAAAACTTCCACACAGCATATACATGTGCATAGAAAGAGCGCCGACTTGCACTGTGTGTGCACTTGTCTTTCTCTTAGGGGGGAACTTGTAATCTACATATACTAGGATATGCAGTTCTACTGTTTATTGGTTAACTTTGATGGTTGATCATGAGCGCTTGCACTCAACCTTGCGTCATGGGCCTGTAGATCATAATCCGAGCACGGGTGGATTGCTTTGATATTTGCTTGTTTTTTACTTCTAAATTGTATTTCTGTATGTTTAGGTTCTTTGAAACGCCAAAAATATTGTTTTCAACTAAAAATGTTATATTATGAATTTGCGGGAAATTTGCAGGATTTTAAAAATGAATTTTTAATGTGTAACAACACTAAAAGGGTATTTCGGAATTTTAAAATCTCAAGAGCATACTGGAAATTTATAAAATTGTATGTTACCCATAGTGGGGGACAAAGGGCCCAGCCCAACACATGTTGGCACCACTAGGGGCCACACATCCCATTATTTGGGATGGCCACTTTTTTTTTGCAAATGATACTTTATAATGTTTAATTTTTTAAAACACAAATTTTCTTAGTGAAAATATTCTTTTTGATTAATAGCAATTTTCGTGCTGGCCAGTAATCTTTGATCAAATTTAAATAATTTGATTTCCTAATTATCTCTTTGTAAGAGAATAGGATTTCTAGATTACCCTAGATTGTTCTAGATAGTTCTAGAGGATAAGTTTTGACTGGTCAAAGTTCTAGAAAAATTAGTAGTGGATATGGATCAAATCACAGGGGATAAGGTTTATACAGAGTCACTCTAGATCATGTTGGCTGATCTTGGAGATAAATGGCTCAGATTAAATCTTCTCTGACTTCACAGATCACTTAATAAATACTAGACAATAATGAACTCCTAATTTGAATGTTACTCCTAGCCCTAGAGGCCTATAAATGGGGGCTCACTCCCTTATTTCAGTACATACTGATTTCTCTCCTCTCTCTCTCTCTCTCTCTAGCTCCTCCCTCTCCTCTCTCATAAAGTTGCATGCCACCCCTTATGAGTGTAGGGGTGGCACACACCTCTAAGAAGAGTTAACGAGGGGGACACCCCAACCCTCTTGGTTTAAAATTGGGAGGTGCCAATTGTGGCATACACCAAGGTAAAAAAACAGGGATCTTTGTGAAACCCTTATTATGACCCTAGCTCTCTTGCCCCATAAGTTTTAGAAAGGGAGTCCTAGAGCTGCTTCTTAATTTCAGGTTGGTAGATTCAGCAGGTTCTAGAATCAAATACGCTATCGGTCAGGTGATCGGGTGTGGGGTGTGCAAGCTTTAAGGGGGGTAAACCTAGGCAAAAATCAATAAGTCTTCCCATATTTGTTTAATTTTATTTGATGCTTTTTTTTATTGTTTTATTTCCTAAAGTTGTTCAGTTTATTCAATTGGAATAAAATTTATTTTTGGCAATAAGATATTACGATCCTAGATTGTCGTAGGTCTATTTTATTGTAATCTTGGCACTTGTATGTAGAATTTCTAGCAATTAATAAAAGAAAAGAAAGAAAATCTGAATTTACATCCTGGATAGTTATATAGCCACTACTTTTAAGAGTTGCCCACCGAGAGTCAACTTGAATCAGCCAGTGGGAGAGTTTTACAATAAAATACTCTGGTTTGGGGATAGTTTCTCATACTCTATATTGGTCATGAAATGTTTTTACATTTGAAGCCTATGCCATTTGGTTAAAGGTATGTTGAATTAAAATTTTTGATTAGGTGCTTTTCAATTTAAAAATCATCCCTTCCCCTTCAAAGAATCTCTCTCCTCCTGTTGGCTTAGAGGTGGTTCTCTAACAATCTCTCCTCCTCTAGTTGGCTTTCTCAAGGACACCAACTTGTTGCTGGGAAAGACAATTTCAGATCTACCAAAAAAATCAACAGGTATAGGATGGCCTATTCACCCAAATTGTGCAAATGGAGATAACCCTCCCTTACTCTGAATTGAAGCTTATTTATTAACTTCTAGGCTGGTCCCCATCCAAGTATTTAGCATCTCAAGACTAATGACCTATATCATAAGTTTAGTGAATAGCAGACATTGTCAACCATAGCCTTGATATCTCAATTCACCTCAATTCCGATGTGAGCATGGATTTTTTTAACCAAGTGCTTTTTAAACAATCATCTACAATCAACTAAATATCAGACTTAGGAAATTGCCCCTAAGCTATGAACTCAGATTTATGTTTTATGGTTACATTGGTATTTTGTATTTACTTTCAGCCCATGGGGAAATCTTGGAAGTACAAGAGGGCATAACTAAAAATTATTCGGCATTTTATGAAATTTTTAGAAGCCATTTGATCTTTTGTATATTTTAATTAAGATGTGCCCCCTGTGGGAACAAAGAAATCTCACCAACACTTATACAAGCATTTCAACATTTTGTCCATTCCACATGCCTCTTTGTCTTAGTTATGGACGACTTACCTAGGCACCTACAAGATGAGGTACTATGGTGTATGTTTTTCACAGACGACATAGTTTTGATCGATGAGGCTTGAAGTAGCATCCACACAAAGTTAGAACTTTGGAGTAATGCTCCAGAATCTAAAGGTTTTAAAATAAACCAAAGTAAGACAAGATATATGGAATGTAAGTTTAATAATAATAGGAGTAGAGATGAGGAAGTAGTTAAAATTGGCTGCTAAGAAATACCAAAAGAGCGCATTTTCAATATCTAAAATTGATAATCCAGGAAAATGGAGAGATTGAGGAAGATGTCGTACATAGAATTAGAGTTGGATGGGTGAAATGGAGATGTGCAACTGAAGTTTTATGTGATCGCTACATACCAATGATGAAGCTAGAGGGGAAGTAGTATAGGACAGCCATGAGACCAACTTTGCTTTATGGGACAGAACGTTGGGCAATAAAAAAACAACATACCCATAGGATAAGTGTAGCTGAGATGAGAATGTTGAGATGGATGAGTGGCGAGACAAGACGGGATATAATTCAAAATGAATGCTTTCGAGATAACTTAGGTATGCCTCCAATAGGCGGTATGATGAGAAAACGTAGACTTAGGTGGGTTGGCCATGTGCAGCGTAGACCTAATAGAACACCTGTTAGGAGGTACTAGTTGTTTCAAGTGGAAGGTTCAAAAAGGGCAAGGGGTAGGCCAAAAAAGACAGTTGAAAGTAGCAAGAAAAGATATAGGGACTTATGGCCTCATTCAGAGTATGGCCCTTGATAGAGTAGAATGACAAATCGAGATTCGTATAGTCAACCCCAAATAGTTGGAAAAAGGCTCTAATGGTGATGGTGATGATGATGATAGGGCTTTAGGTATGTCGAAGAGTTAATGTGCTGCCCTATAAGACATAGGGTTAATTTAGAACATAAAACATATTACCTATGGGTTGGCCTTCATCTTCAATCATTGGCGGAAGATGGAGACAAGTCTTATCTTGAAGAAACTGATAACGACATCAATTGGAATATAAATCATTGCAACCCTTGAACACAAAGATTGTTTCTCCATGACATATAGCAACAGACAAGAGGTAAAGTTGATTTGTATTTAAATGTAAATTCAATGCTAAACGGAGTGGGATTTTCTATTATGTCTTTTTCATTATTGCCTTTTACTGTGTATGAAGTTTTTTGTAAAGAACCTTCACAATTTTGAAAAACAAAAGAAGATTCAAGGGAAAAAAAAGGTTACCTCAAGCTATTCAGTATTATCGATGGTCCCAAGCCCAGAAGAGAAAGGAGGAGGGTTGTATTAGGTTGGCAGCCAAAATAAAACTTTCGCAACATCCTTATCATGAAATCCTGGAGTGCAGCTGAGATGAGGATGTTGAGATGGATAAGTAGCAAAATAAAATTACATAATTCTAAATGAATACATGTAAGGGAACTTAGGGGTTGCTCCAATAGGTGATATAATAAGAGAAAGTAGACTGAGGTAGTCTGGTCATTTGCAGCGTCGACCTCGAACAACAACAGTTAGAAGGGGTGACTTGGTTCAAGTGGAAGGCTCCAAAAGGAAGGGGAAAGGGGGAAGGCCCCCAAGGACATGGATGGAAGTTGTGAGAAAAGATATAGTAATCTATAATCTGTCTAAGGAAATGTTTTGTCCTCATCATCATTTAAACATTGATAGAGTGATAATCATAACGACCACATGTTATCCAATCACAAGTTCCTACCTAAAGGTGAGTTCCAAGTCATATCCCTCTAACACTAGTAATACACATCAAAGAGGCTTTAGAGTAAGAAACTAACATTTACTCTTCCTTTGACACATCAAAGCATTCATGCCCACCTTTAAAAGAAGCTGGCATAGGAACATGCAGATGTTCACTAAATTAATTGCAAATGATGGGTCTGATCCCATGCTAGTAATACTTATATATTTCTCCCGACAGCATAACATGTCCACAGTTCCTCCATGTTCTTGCTCATTTGCCCCAGTGATGGTGGTTTCCATTTCATCCATTTGGCCCTTTCAGATGATTCTTGAAACCTCCCAATCTTGCTCATTGGAGGTTCTATCAAACATTAGCAAACACTAGCAAAAAAAATGGAATTACTCCTTGTCATCTAAGAACTAACAGTGTATAATAAACAAAGGACCTTGGGAGATTAAACCAACACTTGCAAAGGATCGATATATCCAACGATTGGAAAATGCATGTCAGAATTATTCTTAACCGAATGATATCAAAGTTTAGGATAAAGCTTGTAATGTCAAATTAAAGAAAAAAAGAATAAAAATATAGCATGCAACTAAGAGCTCTATACAAAATTGAAAAATAAAAAATATAAATTACAGAAATAAGAATGCGATTCAAAAGGAATTGATGAAATTGTACCCATTATGCTCTAGTCCAAGCTCTTTGAATTCCCATTTGGCATTCGCAACTCGATCAACATATCTAAAATTGTAATCTCGTTAGACAAAGTAATTGTCTGACATAAGAAGATAATGTGATCGATCCCAAAAAACTGACTAACAAATAAAAACATTGAAAGAATTGCATGTCTAGAGATTATAACAGCATGGACAGAATCATAACATACAAAATGATTTCACAAAATTTGTTTCATTACTAGATAATATATTTTTTTTAAAAAAAATTACAAAGCCTCAAACACATGCCAACTTGGAACAATATAAAAAAGATTTTGAATGGTGTATAAGCAATCTAAACAAATTTCCTTTAGAAGCCTCTTTTGCTTTTTGATAGTCATTAGTTTGATGGCTCTCGTGTTGAAAACAAAGGCATTCTTCATAACACTTCGACATGAAAGATTTAGGGGAACCTTCATATGTGTTGGGCATAAAAATAATAAGAAACAAAGCAAATTGAATCATTCAACACTTATTGTAAAAGGATGTTGGAAAAGTTTGAAATGGACTAGTGTAAGCCCATATCTACCACTATAGGCAACAAGACCAAGTTACGCCTGCAAATGTTCCCCAATGATGAGAGAGAGAAAAAGGCCAAGGCGAGAGCGCCCTATCGCAGTGCAGTAGGGTCACTCATGTATGCTATGTTAGGAACAAGACCAGACATATATTTTCCCATGAGTGTGATTAGCTGATTCCAATGTAATTTTGGACTGGAACATTGGAAGGTGGTTAAGAGAGTACTGAGATACTTAAAAAGGGACCGTGAATTACGCACTAACATATGGGGGAGAGTTGGATATCATCTATGGCGCTACCCAGATGCAGATTATCAAGGAGACCCCAATGACATGAAATCCACATCAGCATATGTGGTCACGATCAATGGTGGGGCAGTTGCTTGGAAGTCCAAGAAACAAGATGTTGTAGCTTTATCCACTATGGAGTCCGAATACGTGGAAGCTGTGTGGCTAAAGACGTTCCTCAATCTGCTCAGGCTTGAGGCTATGCAATGCTCGTGTGTGAGGATCTTCTGCGACAACCTATTTGTGGTCTATGTGACTGAGGAGCCATGCTTTCGCAAGAAGTCAAAGCACATCAAGGCAGACTATTACCACATTTGAAACGAGGTCAAACTTGAAGAGATAGAGATCGCGTATCTTCCAACAGAGGCTATGCTTGCAGACCTTTGATAAAGGGAATAGTGGCAAATGTGTTCACCGAATGCCAAACAAGGGCATGGGATGGAGATGAGAGTGTAAGGAGCAGTAATTGTAATCAAAGGCCAAGTGGGAGATGTTGGCCTAATGAGAGCATGTACTCCAAATTTCTGATATTGTGATATGATGGCTCCAGTGAGAATGTGGTCCAGATGAACTGTGTGGCATTTCTGATGCCATGACTCACCTGAGTTTCAACTGGCTAGGCTTGGATTGATCTAAATCCCTTAGCCTTGGGCATGCAGTACAACTGATAAGGATTTGTGGAATCATCCCTTGATGAGGTCGGAAGGATGCCCAGGGTGGTTGGCTAGGGGTCTAGATGTGACCTCTATGTGGGGTAGTTCGCCGTAGGGGACAAGAGCCAAATTCCATAGCATTGTCATCGCATGACATGTATACTATATAGCCTTCTAGGAAGCAGCCTCTAGGGCATATTGCGTACATGTGCAGAAGAAATGTCTCCCTGCAACACTGAATTGTGTTGGAAGGACCCATGAGATAGTGTGCTAAATGGGACTTGGACTTGTCCTTAGGAAAGAACTTGTAATCTATGGACTAAGATTGTGTTCCCTTCATTTACTGGTTGGCTTTGATGGCCACGCATGAACACCTGCGATGAATTGTGGGTCATGAGATCTGTTGGATCAGGTTGAGAAGATAGCACTGGGATGCGATTTCTAGAAAGGAGCCCTCAACATATTTGTGTTATCCGTGACTCTTTGGACCCAATTCGCATCAAATTCTTTTTAATATGTTTAATTATAATTTACTTGTGTTTTAAAATATTAAAATGAAAATTTAAAGTTCTATGGATATTTTATTTTGGTTAAGAGATATTTTAAAATAACCTAAAATCAAGTTTTTGAATTTTATAATTTCAAAAGAAAATAAAAATATTTAATTGGTTATAAAAATTGCTTTTATAATTTAAAAATCAAGTAAAGGGTATGAGGGCCCACTGGAGATAGGGTCCACTATTTGGATGCTTTGGGGGGAGCACGTCCATCGGTTCTTTCAAGGGAAGGCTTCTAAGAGAGAACAACTTGTCGAGCAGATTACTTTGTAAGTTATAGATATGGCAGATGCTAAGACTTGGACCTTGCACATATCCAAAAAGCCATAACAGATAATCTTTGCATTATTTGGTGACTAGAGAAGACGAAATCTGTTATCCCGATTGCATGGCCCTTTCCTCGCCCAGGCCATTTCAAACTCAATGTTGATGCAGCTTCTCTACAGAACCCAAAAAGGACAGGTGGGAATTGGATCATTGGATGTGAATATGGTTCTTTTATTGCTGCATTTGCACAACGCCTTGGAGTTGCATCAAATTATTATGTTAAATTTCATGCTTTGCAAGTTGGAGTGGATCTCGCCGAGTTAGACTACTTTCCTCTACAAAATGAAAGTGAGTCATCTCTACTTATCAATGCTATTTGAGATAGATGCAGGGCCCCATGGCGTCTTCACATTGTAGCTGCCAATTGTAGAAAAAAACTTACTAAACGTGAGTTGTACATCTCACATATCTATTGTGAGGCCAATATGGTGGCTGAGACTCTCACTAAAAGAGCCATAGTTTTGTTTGATGCCACCATTTCGCGCACTAGACCGCCTGATTGTATTTCCTTACCTTTAGTCCATGATGTCGCACAACTTCCCCATTGAAGAGTTGTAAATTTGTGAGTTGTATCTCTTTTTATTATTATTTAAGAAAAAACGGGTAGGAAGCCTTCTCCCCCTCTGACTTATCCCCAAAAAAAACAAGATAGGGGCCCACCACAATAAGCCCATTTAGGGAGGGGCGTGGGGCACACTTGGAAATCATAAGGGTGGCATGCCCTACTTGCTCTTTCCTCTCTTCACACAAGTATTCTAGAAGGTGTCGTGAAATAAGGAATGAGATTTTGAAAAGGCTTGATTAATTTCAAAAAGGAAAGAAATAAGTTTGATTGAAATCAATGCATAATATTGTTTTATTTTCTATAATAAAATATTTGATGTGAACAGAGTAAGAACATTGAGAGATAAGGTTCTAGCACATTCATTTTAAACATGATGGCTGATCTAAGAAATGTAAGGCAAAAATTTCTTCACCCAACAAGTCTCCAAGATCTACAGTCAAAGATTAAGTCTCTATAATGATGGGAAATCCTAGATCCCAAAGCTTTTGCACTACATATACCCCCTCTGGGGGATGATCGCTACACACATAAGGTATTGAGTTCTCTCTGTCTCTCTCCCACCAGGCCAGGTATGCCCCACTCTCTCTCTCTCTCTCTCTCTCTCTTCATTTGTCTTATTTTCTCTCTTTTAGGATTAAATAATTTAGTAATAATAAAAGGGGGCCACACCCTAGCCATAGAGGGCTGGCACGCCACTCTTGTAACTCTAAGTTTTGTAAGAAGGTTCCCATCCAATTGTGTTAGATGCTCTCATCCTTGACTAAGGGTTTTGCCTAAGCTTCTCAAATTATGAGACTAGGTTAAGACCGTGATCCCTTGCACCACCGGTGGAGGAGACCCGGTGTAGGGTGCTCGAAATCTTGGGGATTAATCCTTGGCAAGGTACTTGATATCTTATCTTCCCATGCTTTCTTGATCTCAATCATGCTATGTAATTTTCTGATTTATAAATTGAAGGTAATTTCTTAAGTGGCATGCAAGTGAGAATCCTTGGCATTATTTTGTTCCTTTCTTAAATTAAAAGTTGTAATTTGGAAACTTGTAAGTGATCTAGGCGGTATATATAGAGAAAAGAAAGAAAAACTTTAAACTAAATATACTTGCCCAAATGATGTAGTCCACCTTTCATTAAAGGCATTGATCCGAATAATATGGAAGCCATGGATAATTGTAATCAACATATGGGGTCTACAATTCGAGCTTATAAAAAACTCTTAATCTTTTCGTTAAAAACCTTTGCCATGGTCCAGAGTGGATTGGTGTGTGATTCCTGAAAGGTAGGAAGTTATACAAATTGATGGGCCAACAATTCCAATAATATGGGAATCACAATTCCTATTTTATCAAATTGCGATTGTAGATGGCATTGATAGGAATGGATTGATGCAAGATTCCAGAAAGCAAGAAACTTAATTTCAAATTGATGGGATACCAATCACGATTCTGAGATAGTGAGAATCACACAAGTGATTTGCATTGTACGAACGACAATTCCATATATAGGAGTTATCTGATACCCGCGATTCCGTGATTCTGATTCCTCAAACATTTCAGAATCCCATGTGCTTCCAACAACTATAGGTCAAATGCAAGCATGGCCACATGCAGAATCCACATTCACTATGATGCATGAGTGGGGTCTACATTAACTTTCAGGATAAGGCATTTCATACAGTTGTTCGTATAATAAATCAGGGAAGCCACTAAAGATGTTTGGTGGACTATCACCCCATTATGTTCACTACTGACAACATCCAGATTATGGTTCTTGAAAACCTTCATTTGCATTTGTTATGTTTATGTTGACAAAAACTTGAATTAATTTCACCACAGGCTGAAGCATATTTCTATCTCTTAATAATGAAGGACAAACATGTGGCAGCAGCCCTAGCTCAAGCTGAAAGCCTTCCAATATTCACCTTGACAATAGTGCCAACAATAATCACTCTATCTCTGACACCATTGAAGGCCATGTTGGCTGCAATAATCATATGGTCCTAGCATTAGCAGCCATGGAATGCACACTAATAACAACAACATTTGTCCTGGACAATAATGGTTGTGGCATTGATGCTTATGGCAGTCTGTGTAGTGCATGAATGATGGTGACCATCAGT